AGTGAACTAATTTCATTGCATTCTCAGACCAAAAACTGAATACTGCCTGAAGACAACTGAATTATACAGATTTGTATGCTGTCAGTCTCTTCATTGCAGAGTTTATCTGGCCTAGAAGCAAAAATTAATTTTGCTATCTTCCACAAGCCAAGAATAAAAACGTTCCCACTACTCTCCAGTGCGCAAATCTGACTTTATGCCGCACTCCAGCCTTTGTAAGTGCTATCCTGTTTACCTTTTTCATGGTAGCTGCACAGCCAGCGAAACTCTTGCAGTTATTTGCAAGAGCTCTCAAATCCCCATGCTGGCAATCACGCCTCAGTACCTTCTCATTTCACAGACACAATCTGAATGCTTTTTGCTCTAGGATACATAGAAATGCCATTTAAATGGCATTGTAAAATGCCATGGAATAATAGCACTGGGCATGCATTTCCCCCTCTCTGCTTCCTCCTTAACTCAGGGAGATTAAAAAAAAAAAAGCAAGAAAACAGTTTCATCGTAAAACGAGAACAGCAAAATCTCTAAATTTTGTGGTTTTTTCCATTTCCTCAAATTCTCTCAGAAGAAAAAAAAAGAATCGAGTGCCAAGCTACTAGCCATTCTAGGCTGTGTTTTATCTATGACACCTAAACCAAAAGCCAAGTAACCAAGAAAGGCCATAACTTAACAGCTGCAGTAATGAGTAGCTGGTTTTAATCTGCAAGAGAACCGATGTTAATATGTGAAGCTATCAAAACGTGTTAAGCCCACAGAAAACATGTTGGTTTCAAAGGGCCTTCCACCCTCACCCTAGAAAAAACCTTTTTTATTTGAGAAAGTCCTTGCCAATTCTATCCGTAACACCCTCATCTGTTACAGTGCTCAGATTTCCCTCTCTGCTGCGTTACCACTGCAAACTTAGAGGCCAAAACTAAAACTCAAGTTCCCAGAAATCTAGAACAATTCAGTTACTGGCTGCTACACCCCTTTTTACTGCTTCCCTTCCAGAGGGGAGTTAGGTCCAACTTACATTCCTCTAGCAGTAGCTATCTAGGAGACCACCTCACCTCCAGGAAACTCACACCCAAAGCTCCAATTATTCTACGCGCTAAACTGATTTACTCCTGTACTAGCTTTCACCAGCCCCACCTCTTGTTCTAATTTAGGTCTCTGCTTCCTTCGAGGGCCTACAATAAACTTGGCTGGTTTAAGAACTGGAGAAGCCAAAGTAGCCAAATAGAGCAAAACCCCCAGATACCCCCAGACACATGCACCTCATTATTTATAGGAGCTGTTATACAACATTTAGTTCAATATCTTCACTTCCACCTTCCCCCAAATGTTTCACTCGGTATGAAATACTACTTCAAAAATACACATTGCTATTGCTCTTCCCCTATATTCACATTTGCATTTAGCACCCCCGTGCTTCAACTGGAGAAAAGCCTCATCAAAACACATCTGAGCCACTAAAGCAAAGTAAAAATACAGTCCTTTTCCACATTAATTTGGTGGAAGGGTTTTCAGTACCAGACCAACGTTTTTATCTTATTTCTGCTTTCCATGGTGGTAGTTATGATTCAAGAAGGTACATATCACAAGCTAAAATATTAGCTGACTAAGATATAAACGGAGAAAAAAGCCTTAATCTTCTCCGTTGCTGATCATTACGATCTGCTGATGCAAACCAACTTCATGCAATTCACACTTTCTGATTACATTTGAGCGGTTATGCTGCAGTAGCCAAGTTCTCACTTTTTTTTTTTTTTTTTTTAAGAGTAATTGAATAGTATTAGATTTTTTTCCCCCATACAACACTAGTAAAAGTTAAGTATTTCAGGCAATGTAACAAGGTAGCTAGCTTTTATTTTCTGTTTAATTTAAGCTTGCAGATCCCTAGGATTAATTTGCTTTTGAAGAACCCTTCATGTTCCTACCCCATAGTTGGGATGCTTCTGCCTTTTAGCAAGAAGAAATTTATTGCACATTTCTATAGATAACTTGTTTCTTGAAAGCATGATCTACAGAAAACTGCTAATGTATTTTATTAATGCTAGTGTATTTAATTAATGCTAGTGTATTTCAATTAGCTGTGATAAGCATGGCCTACGCAGAATCCAGTTGCCTGAGCAGCAACCTGACTACATTATACATTATATTCTAACACCGACCCTTGCTTGTTCTAGCCTACAAATTGCACTGTCACAAAGACCAAAGACCCTCAGAACTAAAGTCTGCACAGTACTCTCAACATTTATAACCTCTCACAGAAAATGCATACTCTAACCACAAAAAGACACAGTTTTGAGAGGCAGAAGCATACACAGATAAAATTCTAAGCTGTATCTCCAGACATTGGACTTCTCTTTCCAGCTGTACCACGGAGCTGCTTTCTGACACCTTCTCCTTACAGATAGAAGTTCCTTTCTAAAAGTCAGATTTCATGGTATGTAGCTGCTGAGGGGGCAGGCAGAGAGGAAGAAAAGTGGTTTCTACCTGCTTTTTCACCTCCTCACAGCATTACCATGTTTTAGAACATAGTTTGTCCACAGCATCAGCATAAAGTTAAGTGCCAAGCTACAAGGCAGGCAGGCACTTTCTCCAGATCACTTTACCAAAATAATTAATAGAGTCTTTTTGTGTGTCTATTTCAACAATGCTCTGCATGCTTGCAAGATGACCTAATAATAAATACTGAAAACATGGCGAAAGGACAGTCTCCTAAAGTTTACTTTCAACAAATATAGAAAACCTTCATAAAGAAGCAGCCAAAAAGACCAGTTTGGGCTCCATTCCAGCTCTCTGGCATAATACTCGTTCTGTTAGCACTACAGCCAACACTGTAGAATTTGGCTGACACACCCAGGAAAGTGGCTCCCAACATTCTGTATGTGTTTATACAAATACCCAAGACTGAGCTTACACCAGCATTCTGTTTGTTTGTTTTAAAACCGAGTGCCTGATTTAAGGATTTCTACATCACAAAACTAGGGCAGGAAAAAGAATTTCTCTAATACTGACTGTTGTGAAGATGGGATGAGTCCATCTGCATTTACTCTACCTTCAACATGAATTATGCCAGTATTTGGGAAGTCAGATTTAGTCTTCTTACATCTCACAGTACACAAATGTTAGTCCTGAATTAAACAATAACAAACTGTTCTTGTAATCTTCCTTTCCTTGCAGTAGGAAACGAAACCCCACATTTTTTGCCAGTCATTCACAGCACAGATTCATGTAGGGCTTCTTGAAACCTCCAATCTATCTGCCCCTTGAAGATAAAAATGAAACTTTAAATATTTCCACCTTAATCAAGAGCATCATTTCTATAGAACAACGAATACTCACACTACTGTAAGTTATTGCACCATGCACGTGGAAGAAAAATTCTCCTTGTGTGAGAAACTATTTTGGAGAAAATTAAATCACTAAATAGTAAAGCCCCAGGTATTCTCAGTTGTTTATCATAATAAATAATAATCCTCTAAACTCCTGGAGTTGTACCTTAGATCAAATGGTGTGCAGAAGTAAAACCTTGCTACTAACTGAAAGAAATAGTTTCATCTCAGACCGCCCCACCTCTCTCTCTTTGCTTGTCTAGCATCAGAGGGGGTGCAAAAGGTGGCAAGAAGCTGTGCTCCTCTACAGGTGCAGTTTCACTTAACACTTACGTCTAACTAAACTACTGCCAAAAGATGCAGTTTCAGCCCCGCTACTTCCTTATCTATGCTTTGTGTACAACCTGCTTCCCTACGTCGATTCAAGCAGTTGCAGAATGAGCCAAGTTAGCTTTGCTGATCCAAAAGAAAACTAACGAAAAAAATTCCCATCCAGCGTAAATGCAACTTGAAGTCACACACACCCCAAAATTGCCACACCACAAAAATCAGAATGCTTAATTTCTAAGGCCTTTTTAAAGACATGGGACAAGAGATCTGGAAATGCAGTGTGTTCAAACCCAAGGATAATTCCAATGGGAAGAGACCTCAGGAGGTCATCTTGTCCAAACTTCTACCCAAAGCAGGTAAATTCATCCAGGAGATGACAAGATATGATCTGCTTACTGTCAGGAGCTGTAAAGGTTAAGTGACCTGTTAAGGTTAAAAAGGAGGTAAATGAAGCCTAAGAAAGTCTCAGCAACACATTCACAACAGAAAAAGAGGAAAGGTGGGGCAGGGAAGCTTTGCTACTGAACTTTTTTTAAAAAAAACCCAATACTCACTTCCACTCAACAGGAAAACTGGATCAGTTCCAATTTAATCAGCACTGCACCTACCAGGATCACTATGTCGCCCTAGCAAGGTGAAGGGAACTGAAAAAACATCAAGGCATACAGGATCTTCTACAGAGGTAGAGGAAGCACAGTAAACTTACACCACTCAATATTAAGGAGTCTTACAGACTCCGGTCTGCCACAGAAGCGGCACTTCTTTGGAACATTTGCCTCTAGTTAAGCTAGAAAAAGCACTCACGCAAGCACCACTATCGTACCAGATAAACAGATGATCCTCATTTACTTAAATGGGTAGGATCTGAGATTTACCCACTTCGGACATAGGACTGCACTGCCAGAGCGTGCCAGTCACAGGTACATATGCTCCCCGAAGCCACAATCACTCCTGCTCTTTGCCTACACAGCACATCACTCAGTAGAGCCACTACTCACATCTAACTTGCTGAAGCATCACCATGTTACACTTAATGCAGCCTTATACCTGCCCCACTCACTGCAATCCTAAATAACTCTCATTTAGGAGGCAAAAGACGACAAGAGGTTGATACTCACTTTTGCTAATCAGGAGGAGATTTTTTTCAATTGTTTGTTTAAAAAAAAAGAAATCAGAACATAGACTGTAAATGCTCCACGCTGGAGTCTATTATTCTAGGCCAAACACCCCTCCATAAACCCCATTTCTGTATACAGCTTTGGGAACACCACACAATTGAGCTGTTACTGCCAGAACTGCTAACACATCTAACCCGGTGACTGTGAAGTAAGATTTACCCTGTGTACTCACTGCCTGGTGGATGTCAGCCTTCACTTCTTCGCTCAGCATTCCCTCAAACACAAAGGAATCGCCAAATTTCTCTGCCTATAGAAAGAACAAAAGATCCAACCATATTATCAAAGGAATGTTATTCTTAAAACGCCACTCACGTTTATAGCTTTGTTTTATCGAGGATAAGGAAATTCTGATAGTAATTTGGAGTTCTCTTTCAAGGAAGTTATTTTGGAACAGAAGAGAAAGCATTTTGTCCCTGTATGTTGTCTTTTTCAGCTGCCACGGGACAGATGGCAGCTCACAGAGCTTCTGCAAATGTTGTTACTTCTATTAATTAAAAATGCTACAGTCAATAATCTAACGTTCAAGGGCATATTTATGTTCTCTTATTTTTCCTTTAAGAATCACAATAAGAGACTTAAGCCTTGTCACTTACTGCTCCATCATCACTAGCACCACGTTTTGAAGTGCTGTTACAACAATAGAGAAGTTAAAAGTAACCCAGTCATCATATCTAGCATTATATAAAACCAAACCAAACAAAAAATAGAAACAATTTCAGTTCACAACACCAGCACAGAGTTTTTTTCCCTCCTGATAAACTAAGTGAATTGATATACTTGGGGAGCTGACACATGCCAACAGAATTCAACACATTTGCCTGTCTCAGTTTCTTAATTTTATTGTAGACATTCAAAGACAGTGAATTATCACCATGAGCTGCTTCTGCACTATCAGAACTTTTAAAGAAAAGCATAGTTTGAAAGAAATATCAAATTCACCACCCAAATTGCAAGGTTTTAGCATATGACTGTAATATTTATATATTCAGTTTCAAAAAGGAAAGAGAAGAAAACAAATACTTGATTTAAAGACCTAAAGATAAACAGATTTATCAAAGAGGAAGAATACTTTTTTTTTTTTGCCCCCTGCCCAGTCTGAAAGACCCAGAGGCAAACAGGTTTATCACCTAAAGGACCCCAGTTTTCAGTCTCACAGCATCCATCATGGGCTTTTTTTTTTTTAATAAGTTCATTAAAAAATATTTTTGATTCAAGACAGCTGTATATCTGGAGATGTTTTTCTTCAGCTTTCTATTTACTTTTAGGTTTCATTTGCCACTGGAGTTCAGTCTAGTCCTTAATAAAAGAAAACCAAGAAGTAGGTTGGCTCTGTTTACCTGCAGTAATTAATGTGGACATTATTTAAATACACAAAAAGCAGCTCAGCTGCATTGCCCCAAAAACCCCTGCAGAATCACTGCTGTTTACTCTAATGCGCAGTTTATTTTTCCAGATCCAGTGTAAAAAGGGGGCCCCATGGGAGGGGGACAGGAGAACGTGGAAGAGAAGCACCCATGTACACCAGCTGAGCCATGAAGTGCTGTCTGAAACAGGCACCATCAGATGTGGTGTTACATTTACACCCCACTGCACACATGCTCATTCCAGAAGCTGTCTGCAACAAGTAAGCCCTGTTCAAACTCCAAATTGTTGAACAACCTTTTTTCATAACTATTAAGAATTTAAAAACAGAACTAGTGCGCAGATAAAAGCAGCCCTTCATCCAACCAGAAGGATCCTGTCTTCCAAATGAGAACCAGTTTATCAAGTGAATTCAGCAAAGTGCCTCCTTTGAGACCTGATCATTACTGAGGCTTTTATTTGCCTAAAAGGCCTGTCAGGGTTTTATAGAAGTTGCGTAGGAACAGTCAACTGTCAGGAAAGATCAGAGCCTCAAGCACAGGTAGCTTCTTTCTTGGAAGAAGCACCTTAACATATTCTTTCTTAGTCCATTGTTCCCAGCAACATGCACAAAACTATTATTAAACCTGCTATTATATCTTCTTTAGACAGCAGGGCTGTCTATTGCTCAGCTCATTAGCAGGTAGCAGTACTGAACTAGCCTGCAGAGTCCTCAGCTATCACAGTTTTTTAAAATATCTTATCCCCTGTTCCTCTAAAATAAGGAAAACATAACAACATACTTGTACAAAGATGTCCTATGGTCAAGAATAACCCAAACAACAACAGTAAATACCCTAAAACCCTTTGCACAGAATCTTCAGCCATGTGTTAGCTTCACCCAGGCTGCCTCTGTCATACTGCAGGGAAGACAGCAGTTCATCTATTGGAACACTTACTAGAGGTAACAGTAGACATCTAAATGCTCTTTCCGACTCCCGGGCAGCAAGGCAAGCCAATTTTCTCTCTACACGACTTACATTAGAAACATTCTAGTATGCAAACCCCAAGCAAGTATTGTGACCTCCCTCAGAAAGAAAAAAGTTTAAGTTTTTAATGGGGATTTTGCTAACAGAAAGATGACAGCAGGCTCTATACCCTTCTACCTTACCTCAGTAACATATCCAGTAGAATTCACAAATCTCTCAAACTCCTCATTGCTGACCTCGTACTGATCCATGTAGAAACTGTTAACATGGACTCTTCTAGCAGGCCATTCTCCATCTTGCTGTATGTCAGGCTCATCAGTGCCCATTGTGAACACTCCTCCTGGAATAGCGACCATCTGCAGAGAAAACACCACCCAAAAGATTATGAAAATGAAAGACTGAAAAGAGTCTCTTCTCCTCCTCCACCTCACCTTTGGATGTGCTTTTGCTTTAAGCAGCATTTCACTGACAAGGACGGCACAACAAAATGGCAACAGTGCCATCTTCACCACCTGTTTGGAAGAAATAGCAAGCAGAACTTAAACTGAGAACAAAACCCCCATTTGCTGCTCTTTCTACATGAAGTCTGGGTAATTCACAACTTTTACTGAGGGTAATGCTTGTGCTCTAATGAGGAGAAACATGTTCCCTCACTGTACCTAAGAGCCAAGAAATAATCCAGAGTCCTTTCTATTCATTTTTGGATGAACAATTTTGGTACTTGACTCTATTCCTACGATGACTTGATGCATCAATGACGAATCTGGAAATTAAGAAACTGTGAAGTGCTCTTCTGTGGACAAGCCTATGCTTGTTTGCATACTAACTGCACATGGTTTTTCGTTTAATAACAGGCACGCGCAGCATTTTATTACCAACCATGCTGCTACCTGGCAGGCGAATGCAACACCTGCAGCTCCGCATGCCAGAGATGAGACAAACTTTCAAGTTCATTATATTCCACTCCCCTGGAAGACTGGCCTTGGGCAAGAGCCTCAAGCTTCAGAAGTTAAGGATGAGTGACAGAATAACATTTTAACTGTTTCAATAACATGTGTTCCCTTTGAGGCCAGCCAGTTTCCAGAGAAACAGTGCACATTTTCCCTCAGCTTTAGTGGGCTCTTTCCAGGAGGACAAAAGGCCCCAGAGGTCTTGTCATGCCTCATCAGATGTTTCCTGAGAGGCCTCTAAAGACCACAGACTGAGTAATGCACTCCTCACCCAAAAACCAAGAGCATCCATGATCCCTGCTCAGAAGCTGGTGCTGGAATGAAGAATGACAGCTCAGGCTGCGTAAAATCTTCCCAGTGGGCAGGTGATCTTTCAGAGTCTGCCTACCTAAGGACTAGCTTGCCAAGAAGTTACCTGACTCATCATCAACAGATTAAAAAATTGGGGAAGAAAACTCTCTTTTCGGTATTCCTGAGCTACCTTCACCCCCAACTCACATGGAATTCAGCCCCCTCACTGCTCCTGTGAGTGCAAGAGCCCCAAGAAAGCCATCCAGCACATATGTATGCATCCACTATGGAAAATAATCTGGCATATCGCATCGCACCTGAACGTACCCTAGCAGTGACCTATGATCACACACCACTCTTACAGCAAATTCCAGCAGGCAGACCAGTGAATCAAAAATGAGCAAAGCCAGTTCTAAGAGATAGCAGCATTTTTTTTTTTTTTTTCAAGATCCTGATGTTTGGTATGCAAGAAATTCAAGTCTAATAACAGAAATAGTCACAGAGAAGTTTCCAGACTAGCACACTTCTAACACTACTCCAGAAGTTTAGTTTAAGTTCTGACCGAAAAAGAAGCCTGGGTTTTGTATGTATGAGAGTTCAAACAAAACTCCATATGCATGTAGCAGAGTAACACTATGCAACAGGTATATTAAAAGTAGCCAAACTGCAGAGATAGGGTTGTAAAAACTGTGAACCAATTCAGCATTATTTAAACAAAGAGTTGAGGTCACAGAACCAAACATGAACTTTGCACATATAGCCATTTTGCAGCAAAGCCTAGATTGCAGGACCTTGATTCTTTCATAGTTGACTATTTTTTGGCTTTTTCTTACATGACAAGATTCCCTTCATAAAGTCAGATGCTTTCACCAGAACAGTTTATCCAGATACCCACAATGACTCGTGAACCAGGAAGACAAAAAGAACCATGTTACCTTCCAGCTTCTGGAGTTTACTGTTATTTATGCAGTTACAACACCACCAGCACACCAAGTGATCAGTAAATCCATTCACATCAGCTTTCCAGCACCTCCCCCTGTTCTGAAGGGGGTCTGGAGTGTTTGACATAACCCTGCAAGTCCAATCTCATTGTTTCTTCTCCACTACAGCTCTCTCCTTTTGCTTGGGCCTCTCCCAGTAACACTTAAAATTCACACAACTTGCAATGTGCCTGTTAAGAAGTGCTACAAATCCTCTTCCTTTGAACATTGGAAGCTAGCTGTATCCTCATAACTCTTTTCTCCACTAAAAGAATCTGAGCACTTACAGACTGTCTTTAACCGAATCCATAAAAGGGCTTCAGGATAAATTTGCTTACATTTTTTAGGACTTAGGGAATGACAACGTGGTACAAAGTTGCACCACTTTCTTCCAACCTCTTTCCAACCCACTGTAGCTAAAATAACTCCTCAAAGCAGTCTTCAAAGCAAGATTCAGACCTCATTAGTGAGCTGCTGTCTCAAAGCATGTGAAAAATTAACTCTTGCTTTACAGCTCAGCATTCATTTCCAAAACCTGAAAAAGCTCTTTAGACTGCCAGTGTATGTTCAGCTAGGAACATCCAAAGGCTTCCTTATGAACCTGCTGCTTTTGCAGCCCCCAGCACAGCTGAGACTTCTGGTATGTCCACCTGATAACAAAAATTGATTGCACAGGATTATCCTCCACCACCAAGGCTCATTTCACAGCTCCACCTCCTGTTTGGAAATAGGACCTTCCTTTGACAGCCAGCTTTATGATAACACCACATCATGGCTGCAAGGCTCAGATGTCTGACAGAGCTCCTCAGCTGAGAACACTGGAATACAACACTAAGCAAAGAACAGATTTTCTGCAGACATCACATCCATAAACCACACTGACATAGTTAATTAAGCAGCTTTAACACCCAGTTTTAAAAGACAGGTAGCTAACTCTAAGGAACTATAAAAAAATAATCGAAGTTGAACTATGGAGGCAGAAATACAACAGCAGAGGCTGACAGTTAGGTCATTTACTGTATTAGTGATGCAATATAATAGAGTGTACAACAATAATTACCTGTATCTTCACAATATTACTTAGCTAGCACATGCAGTTCACTGTGCTCAAAACTCAACTTCAGCAACAGGGACCACATCTGCCTCTGATTATACTTAACTATTATAGTAATGCAGAGCAGACCCACTAAAGTACTAGCTCCTGATTTCTAAAGATGTAGTAGAAATAATTAATCTCAGTTGTGGTTGAGGTAGAAGCCAATTTTTTCCCTCACTTCCCTTCTCATAAAAATGTTTTCTAGCTAAACATAATCAAATTATGTTGTGAACACATCTTAAAATCCAGCAGCAATTAGTTTTCATTCTCTGTTGTTGAAGTTGCCAGCTTCCTTGCATAGAGTCAAGAATTTTTTCTATCCTACAGCAAGACCTACAGTGAAATGCCAAAATTTATTATATGAAATGTAGATTAGTGACATGAAGTGCAATACGGATTATTTAATTCACACACTTTAAAAATGATCGGGTTTCTTAGGTGCAGCCTGCAATAAAGTCATAATTACCACTGTGCACCCTTCCCTTTACTCAGTAGGTTTCCACGCTGTCTGCGTGACAGCAGCTTTCTCTGGTCTGACACAGCTTCCCAGCCTTACACCACTACAAGGCAATCAGAGAGGCAGCCCATCACATTTCGTCTACGTGCAAGCCATCACGCACAAGCACATTATCCAAGTCTACTGGGATATAATTTTGTCTGGCAAAGTTTACTAGCACTTTTTGGGAAATGAATAGCAATCCCATTTCTAAAAACTGAAGACATGCCATCCAGTGAGGCATTTGGTCTCTAACAATACAAAAAATTTCAGTATCCTTTTGCAGTAGGCACGGTCATAGCACATTAACACACTTCAAGCACTGCCTTTGTCAAGAAGTCACACTTAGCTTTGGACAGTGTCTTTCAGAGAACAGCAGCAACACAAATAGAAAGGAATAAGCAATTAAACAGACTTTTACTTGAAGCCAACCTGAAAAGCTATACAGATATGGATACATAAATGATGGGTTTGCTGAAATGCACACAAGAGACATGACACATCACTTGTTGGTGTTTCAATTCCATTGATACCAACACGGACCTAAAAGAGATGGGGTGGGGGGGAAACCAGAGCCAAAGCACCGTTGATATTCAGCAAGGAACAGAGCTGCCACCTCCCCTGGCCATATGGCAACAGATGGCACACTCAGGTGAGTCCTCTGGCACGTCTATTCCCGGTGTTAAGTAGCTGGGGAGGCCTGCCAAAAAAAACAGCCAAAACACCAGGACTCAGTTTGCCGTGTCTCGGCTTTACCCAGGGAGGAGCGATCAGGGTGGACATGGGTGGGGACACATGGAAGGCCACCAGAACACGGGAACCGCAGCCCAAGGATCTCTCCATCTTGGATAGCACCCAAACCGCCCGGGAGACGCTCAGGCTGCCCGAGCAGGCAAAACGAGATGGACCCAGGCCAAGCGAGAGGGGCCCAAGCCAAGGATCCCCAGGAGCTCGGCCCAAGGGGGCCGGGAAGGAGCTTTAATTTCAGTTTCACTAAGAAGCCCGCTGGCTAGGGACTCTCCGTTAGCCTCCCAGCACCTCCAAGGTCGCCCCACGGCCCGGCCGGCCCCTCAGTGCGCTC